AAATACGCTTTTTAATTAATTCTCGTAGTCTTTTAATTTATATCACGTTTAGGTCCATATATGATCTATTCTGCGATTTCAAAAACTTAGATATTCTCTATGGCAAGTTGCCTTTTGGAATTAGAGTGGTGGAATAACAAAGATTCAACATATCAATGATAATACAGGAATAAAATGCCAGGAACGTATTAACAGTCAATAATAATTAATATAATATATTCTAAATTTATATTATAAATAGGAAAATTTATCTTTGAATATCTTTTATAAGAAATTAACTTACTAGACTAATTCGAAAAATTATTTCACCAATAGAATATTACTTTATGCCATATTTATTCCCAATATTAAAGAAACATGTCTAGCCGTGCGAAACCGACACAGGTCTCTATTAATATATTTAATTGTCTTGTGTTTAGTTACATAGTACAGTTAATACAGTTAATAATATTCGTATATTCATTATTTTATTCGCATTACGAGTATAAATCGAAATCGTGCTCTCAGCGATTTCTCACTAATGATTCTGTAGACACGATGGTCTGTAGTCAATCATGAGATGCGTCAATCAAAACCAGTTCCTGAGCATTTACCGAGTATTTCATTGACATATACTTTTGTATGTTCTTCAATATATAACAGAGCTATTAACGATAAATGCATTGCAATTAACAAAGTCGTTTAAGGTATTATTCATTGTAGAAGTATTTATTTATAAAGTAGCGCTGAGAATACTCCACAGTGTTTAAGTTTGGATAAGAATTTTTGTTCGTTTACAAGTTCGCCAATCGTTATTAGTGGCATGTGGTTATTTAAACTTGCGTTTATATGTAGCTATGCTTAGGGGTAGTCATTAAGATTTAACGTATACTTAAGCTATCTAAATCAAAAATTAGCTAAGTGAACGGAAAGGAATCGGAAACTAAAAAGCACTCGAAATGAAACCTCTTTCGGTTTTTTAAGTCGGTTACAAATTTATTTCACTGCCTTATTATTATCAATTTCGTAGCTTAATTACATACTTTTATATACATTAGTTTTTCACATTATTTTGTTATTTAACTTACATTTTATTATCTAAAATAGTCAAACAAGCATGCACATCAAGAGAAAACTTTTCAACATATGCATTATGCATCCTACCAATTCTTACATTCGGCTGTCACACATGGGCACTTACCAAAGCACAATGTGAAATATTAAGTGTAACCCTGAGAGCAATGGAAAGAAGCATAATAAAGAAAAGAAGAATTGACAAAATTAGTAACAAGAATTTAAGAGATAAAGCAGGGTTTGCTGACGTAGTGTATAAAACAAAAGTACTAAAATGGAAATGGGCTGGACATACCATAAAAGGAGCAGATAAATGTAGCAAAATAGTAACACTATGGCAATCAAGAAGCCATAAAAGAAACAGAGGTAGGCAATTTAAAAGGTGGGCCGATGAAATCATGGAAATGGCTGGAAAGACTAAGACCTGGACGAGATTGGTATTCAATAAGGAAAAATGGAGGACAATGGGGGAGGCCTTTTCACGTAGGCACACAGAATCAGTTATCGTAGATTAAGAAAAATAACAGTTATAATGTATATATTTTGTATTTCTGATATAAGGCTGTAAATAAATAAATATAAATAAATAAATTAAAGTTCCAATGCAAAATTCTCTAGAAAATCTACAAAAAGTGTTTGTCGTGCGTAAAGTTTAAAGAATTTACAACTCATAATTACAAGTGGTATTTTGAATTTAGAATCCGTTACAAACAAGAACAAGTCACATTAAACTGGTGCCCAACGGTCTGAGCGCTTTTGTTCCGAAATACCACGACAAGCTCGACAAACGAGTTTTTTAGCAGGTAAGTTATCCCTTAAGATATTTTATCTGTGACTCTCAGCATTTTATGGAAAATTTAAGCTCGCTATATGTCTTACATGTATAGAATATGACCATAATCTGACTTATATGTTAGACTGGATATACCATGATGTTACATACAAAGTTTATAATAATATAAGATTCTTACCAAATTTGTCTGTTACTTTTAGTATTGTTTCTCATTTGACAATAATTAACACGCTAGTATAGTCTTTACCTTGAGAGTAGTCAGACTTGTCTCATGTCTCAAGAGTCATGTCTTTTTATTTTTATTATGCATTATATATATGCCTAGCGGTCTTATTAAGTGGCCGTTAGGTAAGGGGTACTGGGTTCGATTCCCGATTCGAGTGCAAGTTTTAAGTAACTTTAAATTTGTTCTCGGCCTTTGGGAGTGTTGTGCGGTACCGGGCGAGTTGCTAAACCGTGGAGACGAACCATGGAGAGCACGGTCGAAATTCTAAGGCAAGCACTAGGTAGTGGCTGAGAAAATAGACTTTGTAGGTTAAGGATATAGCAATACGTTCTAGGCCGAGGATGGAAATTACAAGTGGTAATTCATGTCGCAAGTCGTAACTTAACGTAATGTAATTATAGTTTCTAATAATATAAGAACAATTGTTGCAATAACATTCTTATAATCTGAAACCGTGAACTTACAGCAATATCCAATGTTGATGTTGATGACATGTCAATCGTAAACACTCCTTCACCAGGTGGCGCTGGTACCACTTTAGATCGACGCGGCATTTTGAAACATCCAATCACTTTATATGTACGCACCATTTCACTCACACACTACTACACAACTATTAACAATTATCGTAAAACGTGCGCGCGCGCAAACCGAACGCAAACGAATGACAGGTTTGGGTCAACGATGAATCACTTCAGGTAATGCAATTTTTCTAAAGCTGAGATTCGCGTGGTGTCTACCTGCAAATAAAGCCAGGCTTATCTGTAAAGTTTATTCTGTTATGTTAGCACGTTTGTTTAATCAGTTTCGTAATAAGTTGTTGAATTTAATCAAATATATAAAATTCTCGTGTCACGGTGTTTGGGTTTAAACTCCTCCGAAATGACTCGACCGATTTTCGTGCATTTGTACGCACATACATCGATTTTTCACCCCTAATTTTTATTTTTGCTTTTTAGACAAAATTTTTGATTCAATTCTTTTATGGTACAAAATATACAAAAATACATAGGTACAATCCTTTATTTTCACCCCTCTACGACCAACCCTGTTTTTATTATAGACTATAGTAGATAGTTATTTTTATTGAACTAAAAAAATGTTTCCTAGAAATAATATACATGGCAAAACAACGTTTGCCGGATCAGCTAGTGTACCTACATATGTTTTTATACAGAGTCATACACAGCTGTTAACTCCTTACTGGTAGCACGATGTTTCATGGTCTTATTCCTATGAATCTATAATATTAATATCTATAGAAAAAAAACTTAATTAACGTTTATAATTTTGTAATTAATAAATCTGACACCAAACAAAATAAATTAAAAAGCAAGGCATTACCTACATAAGGATCTAGTGTTATTAATATCACACTGAGGGTGAAACTCAATACAATCGTCAGGGCTTATCTCATTCAAGACCTATATCCATGCGGGTCCTCAAATAATCCATTAGTACATATATAAAAATATACGGGCTCTGTAACCTAAATAAAATGACAATGACTGCTCGAAGGTTAAGTTAAAAAAATCCACACTTGTTCTCAAAACAGTTAAAAAAGAGTCAACTTTTCTTACCGTGTGTGAAGTTAATATGTAATATGGAGTATTAATTGGGTAACTGTTTTGCTTAATCACGTGAGTTTCTAATGTCATGCTGAGATGACTTTTAAGCTGCATTGAGTAAAATTCTCACGTTGAAGTATTCTTCATAATACAAGACCTTGCGATTCTGTAATTCACTTTTCGAACTCTCACAACTCGCGCTCAAATCAGTCATGAAGCAGTCATTTTACGATTTGGCATTCTGATAAACAATAAACTACAAGCTCCCTCAGCTTGTCAAGACGTAATGTGAAATTGCTTAACAGACTACGAGTACCATGAGATTCCAAAAATGACGTGAGTGACGAAGGGACGATATAAGATTAACAGAATCGCACGGCTGAACGAGTTGTGAACTTATGGCTCGTGCTGGCAGTGCTCTCGTTTCAATATTGCGTATCGGATTAGAATTTCAAATGCATTCAGTGAAAGCTGCTCTACAATTACGTCAACAAGGACATTGGCCTCTAAATACTGTGAAACTAGCGATGTCTATATTATCCTATCCACACAATGGAAATGTACTATTAGAAGAACTAGTGAATCAAAAAGGTTCCAAACCTACCATAACTTTCGATGCGTCGCTATCACTGTGCCATAATGGCAGTACCTATAGTATGAGCTATATTGAAGTGGTATTGTTAACTTGGATTATTTCCTTTTGTCACTACATTGGTATCAAAATTTCCGCCTAACTACATGGAATTTGTTAAAATAAAAATAACCCTATTCGTAAAACGTAAATGAATTTTATTACCTACATTACAGTAATAGTTTTACCTACCTAACAATTTCAGGGAAAGACTGTGCTATAATAATGTGCTTTAGGACCTTTTAAAAAGAGAATTTTATCAAAACATGTTTGTTACTTGCTTCGACCTTGCTTTATCGTTACGTTAAAATTTAAGCTGATGAATACATTATCTATATTTCCGACTGCATAAGGTCGAATTATAATGAACGTTTCATCACATTGCATACAAGTTAAACACTTGCAAAATATAATTTCTTAAACCATTTTCTGAGCTGGTGAAAAGGAATTTCTGCCATCAGATCCAAGGTAAGTAAGTTATAAGCCTTTTTTGCCTGATACACGTCGATTTTTTGGGTGTTGACTGTCCGAACGAGTGTTAAATGCACATAGAAAAAGCAAAGCTGTGATTTGAAAGCATGATTAGCATCTCATTGATTGTTTTATTGAACACTAGCCACTCACACGGCCTACGCAAATGACCACAATAGATAATAAATAGTTGTTATCGTAGAGAATCAAAGGTAATGAAAAAATAATATTTAATGGATTATATTTATTTAGTAAAAATTAAAAAAGCTGTAAATGTTCGATTCTCTCAAAGAGGTTTGCCTTCATTTTAATAACTCCAAGTAACCAGTCTGCGGGGAGGATCGTATGACGTATGTCGTGGTCTAGGCGATGTCCTTCAACCCGGAATGTCATCTAAATACAAACTCGTTATAACGTGGACTAAAGATAATAGGTTACCATGGATACCAATTCTTTTTTTTTAACATATGACGATTAAATATCATAAATGTCTAAAAAGTCTCTTCATTATCAAAAATAAATGTCTGATATTTCTATGGTATAGACACGTTGTGAAATCTTTAAATTAATTATTGTTTCGCTTGGAACCAAACGATCGTAGTTAATAAACCTAAATCATAAGATTTATATTTTTTACTTTTAGACTATTTAGACGGCTCATTGGTCTAGTGGTTAGTACGCCTGACTGCGAATCCAGGGGTCCCGGGTTCGATCCCCGGCTGAGACAAACATCGATGTGATGAGCATTTGGTGTTGTGCTTAGGTCTTGGGTGTTTAAATATGTATTTATATGTCTATCTATCTATAATATGTATGTATATCCGTTGCCTAGTACCCATAACACAAGATTCACCAGCTTAGCATGGGACTAGGTCAATAGGTGTGAATTGTCCAATATAAAAAAAAAATTACGACTTTTATTTAAACTGTAAGATTCTGACCACAGGAGCAGGTTTGTTTTCCGCTGCCTCTACGTGCTTATCTTCTATTCTGAAGAACACGGAGGCCGTCGACTGAGGAATTGGGTACGCGAGACTCGGCTGGCTAAATATCACCTGGTAAGTACAGGTCTCACTTATCAAATTATAAAATGGTTAACATTCTCTATCTTTTGACATACAGGTGTCATTTTTATAGAACCGGGGGCAAACGGGCAGGAGACTCATATGATGATACGTGATACCGCCACCCATGGACACTCTCAATGCCAGAGGGATCGCGAGTGCGTTGCCGTCCTTTTAAGAATTCACACGGTAGGTACGGTTGAAGGACCCTAAGTCGAACTGGTTCGAAAATACTTCAGTGGGCAGCTGGAACCACATAGTGGTGGTGCGTGGCAGAAACTGCTTTTAAAAGCACATCGATGTAATACCAGTGGAATTTTGTATTCTTCCTCTGTATAAAAAACAGGTACTCCATCTGTGTACCAATAATTTTACACGCTTTATATTAGCTTCACCTGTATGTATGTATGTATGTAACCGACTCCTTCGGACTCGATTTTGACCCACATTAAACGGACAGATTTAATTCAAACTTTGTACACTTATAAAGAATCAGCGACAATATAATAATTTCATAGGTTTATCTCGATAAAACAATGACATTTTTTTTAAGTCCACAAAGCAATACGATTAAATTGAGACAACACGTATTGCTGCTAGGACTAAAAAGTGGAAAATAAATATAGTTTAAAAAAACTAAAAAACACGCTTTTAAAGCACATCAAACAAAAAGTGAAAAATAATTCCTAATTTAGGCTGAAAATGGTAATGAACAAAAAATACTGGTATTATTGTGAAAAAGCGTGGCGCGCTCTATGCCATATTTTTCGTCTATCGAGCAACCCACGCTTTTTCACAATAATACCAGTATTTTTTGTTCATAACCATTTTCCGCCTAAATTAGGAATTATTTTATTTATAGTATTTAATTGTAGTAAAAGGAATCACGTAGAATCTCTTACTTCAAAGTAATAGTACTGTGAACATTCGTCTTGAGAACCTCCTATATAAATAAGAGTATACATAAGGATCTCTGTTATCTTCCAGTCTTTTTCGATAGCATGCCTAATGAGCTCTTCTCCACTCTTTACAAGAGGACATTTCAGATTCGTAGTATGCACAATAGCTCGCGGGGAGAAATGTTCTCTCGTTTCTGAAACAGACATATAAACATATAGGTGTAATTAATTTGTTAACACGTGTTAAACAGTGTTCAAGGGTCGTGAGCTCTGCTTGGAAGCCACTGAAAGGTTATCATATATTTACATCAAGACAGTAAATCAGATGCAGTGTCTGTATTTTCAAAGGTTGTCGGTTGTCACATAATGTAGGGATTACATAAAAAATATTATATGTATATTATGAAAGAGGAACTATTTGAAATTTAATGGATACTCTAAAAGTATTTATTAGATTTTTAAAATTCTTTCACTTATTCGGTCAAATCGGGGAACAAAGTCGTAAAGCACTAATACGTTATAATATTTTCTCATTTTTGGCATGAAGAACTGTAATTTTTTTCAGAATTAAAAAAAAATTACTAGAAAAGAACACATCATCCATGTGTCTTTATTATACGGAAATTATTTTGTGCACAATATTAGTAATTCTCGTTTACCTAATTTTACTTTCCTGAAATAGAGAGCAAGCCCCATAAAGATAGTTTTAGTTTAGATTGTAATTCTACCAAATAATCAAAAAAAGTTAACGCGACAGTTTTAATATAAGTAAAGAGTGGTAATAAATTATTACGTTCTAGACATTCGTCCAAATAACGTGAGGTTACTGTGTCCTCTGTAATTATGTTTTAACAGTGAAAAAACGCCTTTGCTCTTTAGTCTACTTAGGTTAAAATTACTGAAATGTCTATTTCGTTATTTTTTATTGACAAGATTTCGGGCGCTAAGGATATATACAACGTTCCGGCCTCAGCCACTGGGGCCTTCGGGCCAATAAGTTAAGGTTAGACTGGTAGAGGATCAATCAACCTACCTCCACAATTTAATTGTGACTAACAGCCTTTTTGTTTTATATATTATTTATGTGTGACAGGTAGATAATGTCATTAACTGTTGCTCGTTTCTAAGTTCCTATCATTGCAGTATTTTTCTAACATGATACTTATATCTATCTGTATATTTATATCTATGGTACATTTATGCAGTGGAGTTGATACGGGTTAGTTTGGTGACCGTGCGATTCTTGGAGCTTGTGTGGTCAAACCCCGGCTGGGCAACATTTTTTCTATGTACGCAAATAAAAGTTGCATAAAGATAACATGGTGTGTTTTAGGACTACCCAAATACCTACTTATCTATAAAATGCTGTAGGCCTGTAGGGCCAGCCCGGAGATGAGGCTCTGCAGGTTGATGCCCACTATTTACTTACTAGCAAGCTGCTTTAACGTCTGTCGAATTCCTAGCAATTCTTTGGCTCTATTTATCACCGAGACCACTGTGTCTATCGCCTGCTCCTCATAAGGTTTTATCTCCGGTAAATTCATTTTCAAAAAGTCAACAAATATTAAGTCAATGTCACTATAATTTGAATGCGTCAAATTGATAATGTTTTATCCTATACTATATTTTAACCTCTTTGGTATAAAGCACATACATATTATATCTATATCAGTTAATCGAGTAATAACTTATTATAGCAGAGAAAAACTGGGCTGATTTTTACAAAATTTTCCTAAACACAAAATATATTAGAAATCATTCAAGATTTCTAATATATTTTATAACTCATAATTTTAACATTTCTTTCATAAGTAATTTTTGCTTACAAATATTTTCGGACCATTAACGGTTCTTGCGAATTCGTGTCCTACAATTTTAATTATAATTATGCGAAATGTATTGGATTTGACTCAATCTTAGAGTATCAACAGCCTTCGAGAATCTTAGTACTACTTTGATAACACTTGTATTGCTGGATTACAATAAAATGCGTCAAGTAGCAAATATTGTCGTTATTTAAATGACTCACTGTTGTATCAGTTGTCTATGGAATATTAATGTAAATGTATTTATTTATATGACGCCAGTTAGAAATATCTATATTGAATTGTCCTTTAAGTAACGACCGGTATCCTGTATCAAAATCCAATACATTTTTAACTGACGGAAGTGGTACTGTTGTTTAGTCTCTATTCTAAATCATACTCTTATTCTTTGTGAAGCATGACGAAGATTTAGCACCATCACCATACTTAAGCACTCGTAATATTACTAAATTTATTTTAAATCTGTGTCAAAAGTATGTATTAACAAGCTGCACTAAATAACTAAATATATGAGTGCTGAGAACACATAAGTAGTGAATAAATAAAAAGTACGGGATGTGTGCACTAAAATACCTTAGATAATAAACGGACCCCTACGGGAACGATCAGGGGTTCACGGTGGTAGGTTTTTTTCAAAGATATCGGGCAGGCTCACCACGATAATAGGGGTTGAAGGAGTCTTCGCCGCAATGAGAGGAAGCGAGAAATCAATACGGCAGAGTAATATTCAAATCTGATTTGTTGTTTATAAAACAATATCTCAAATACTATGTCACATATACATAAGATTTATCTAGTAAGCTGTCGGTATATCGCACACCTTCAGCTATAAACATTTGGGATCGCGTCCACCGTGTCAGCGATTGACAAATGTTCAAAGGAATCTGATTCTTCCTTCCTTCCTCCTTCAGACACACGAGAAACAGGGTTTCTTCTTCTACTTTCTACACCTGAAGGATTGTGAAAATATAAAAGTATGAATGGCCTAGACACGAATTGTTATGTATTCTGTTATATGTATTATTACTTTGATCTTCGGAGATAAGAGATGTCTAAAAGATAGTATTTTATCGTTGAGATAAAGATATTTGAAGAGTTATTTTACAGCACCAAATATAAACTACACGATTTGCTTTCACTCTTAAATTAATTTGTAAAGCGATTTAAAACATCAAATATATTTAATATACAAAAGAAAAGAAAAATACCGCATAAAAATCACGCTTGAGTACACACAATGCTGTGAACTTAAAATTTCCACATCTGACATTATTTGTAGGAAAATGTACATTTTTCCTTAAACAAAGATCTTATATCTAGAGATTTCCTAATTTGATTTAAATTCTGGTAATCCATGTGAGTCATAAATTTATATTTGAACCACATTACTTGGTAAAAAATAACTAACCGACTCCATAATACCAAAGACCTGCCTTAAAAGTTATAGTGTAATACTTTCAAGGGAATGGTGATTAAATTTTTAAAGGCAAGGTGCCTTATTAACGTGGGAGAGTATTTAGAGTTTAGACCATAAGTTTTGACAAAAATTATAAGTAACTAAACTGTTCTTATTATTATGACATCATGATAATTAATATGACATTTGCATGCCTATATTTTTAATTCAGATATGATTAATTTCTGATGCCGATTAGCAAATTAATCATATCTGAATGTATCATTTTCTTTGCAAATAATCGATTTATTATTTTTATTATATAATAGTAATTAATTTATTTGGGGGCCCCATACCCTAGCGGTCTTATTAAGTGGCAGCTAGGTGAGGGGTACCGGGTTTGATTCCCGGTTCGAGGGCAAGTTTTAATTTAATTTAAATTTGTTCTCGGCCTTTGGGAGGGTTGTGCGGTACCGGGCGAGTGCTTAAACCGTACATAAAGGGCACTGTGGAATTTCTAAAAGACAATCACGAATTATAAAAAGTCCTATACTTGACGCTGGCTAATGCACAAATCGTGCCAGAGCCATAAAAAAAAAAAAAATTAATTTATATTGAAGTATCCTTTACTCTTTAGATGTCCGCAGTTCGACCGACCGTGTCATAAATACGGCCCGCTTTAATATCATAAATGAACACATGAATACTTAAAGTACCAGATTTTTACTTTTTGGTTGTTTCAAACTGTATAAAAGCAATAAACAAATACACGAATACACAAATTAGTCAACAATTATACACAAAATGTTTGCATTTACTCAAAATGGCTACATTTTTATATTATATTCAGATTGAAGGTAATTTTCATTATATTAATTAAATACCTTAACCCCATTCTTTATCTTGTATATCTTCTACAGATTGTCACACATAGCTAATATTTTCTTATTTCCTAATATACATCATGTGAATGTCTGATAACTAAAAATGCAAACACTTAAACATAAGTACTGAATTATACGGACGCATACGTACCGGTCTACTAAACGGCGACAACGAATTGTATCTATTATGTCGGCGATACAATGCGCAGAGGCGATGAGAACTTGGAGAAACTGATCGTGGTTTGTAACGCAGAAGGCAAAAGATCACGTGGCCGTTCACCAACCAGTTGGACCGATCAAGTGAAAGACTCATCGTCCTCAAAACTGTCATAAGAAAGGCGCTGGCCAGAAACCGGTGGATACAGATTGTGCGCTCCAGATGAGCTCCAGCCCCAGCTCCATGAGCTGCGGACTGAAGAGAGAGACACTGAATTAGCAAGAACTAAATACAATATGCATACTGCATAGTACTGGTTAAAAATTTCTCTTTTTTATCATAACATGACCCGAACGCACGCGAGATTTGTATTTCCGCTTTCATAATTGTCTTGTGTCTTGACCCACTAACGGACATGGTGTACACTGTATGACTCATCCCATAGAACATAAACCATGGAAGAGGCTTTGTTGGTACGGAAGGCGTTGTGCCTATTTATAGATTTTTTGTATGTTCAATCATGTTCATACAATATGTATCTTGTATATATATATATATTATATTGTCGTTATAATCAAGAGAATATATATATACTTTTATATTTATAAAATTTATTTATTTATTTATTAATAAAAGAAACCAAAATTTATAAAATATCAAAATCAAACATCTTACTTTCCAATTAATATTTAATAAATTATGTATTTAAATTATCATCATTTATATATTAGCTTATTAGTTAATTACGCAAGGATAATTACGTCAAAAATAAATTTAAACTATAGTGAGTTAATCATTTTAATTTGTGTAGATTACTTGGGTTTAAGATATTTTAAATAACTATGTAACATATATTATGACTAAATAAGCCGTATGAAAGATTTAGTGGCAAATTGCTAATAAAATTTTAAAAAAAAACTATATGAATAGTATTAAAAAAACAAATTATTATCATTCGTGATATATCTTGCAAATTTGTAGCTATAATTTTAAAATTTGTATGTACTTCAACAGTTTCAAACACCATTTTCTTCCATGAAAAATTAAACAATCCGATAAACAGCTAAAATTACTTTCAACATACTTAATTAGCGCAAGCAAAAAGTCGTATCTAGATGTTTTATAAACGAAGTTACTGCGCGCCCGCACGCGAGCTCAGTCACTCCACATTATCGCGGGTAGACAGACTGCTTTTATATTAAATAATTAAGGCGTATTTGTATAGCCATGTTTTGATTATTCAATAGTAAGTATAAGTGATATTATGGGTGCATTAGATTGTGTTGCCAGTAACAAAATTTCATCTTCAAGTACTGAAGTGTTTACAGCTACGATGAATTCACAGACTTCGTTGGATAAAGATGTAAGTTTGATTATCACTGTTTGTTTTCCCAATTAAAAGATCTTATAAATACTTTACTAACTAAATATGATAGTTAAGAACTCATATAAGGTATTTCTAACAAGTATATTACATGTAGTAGGCGTAAATGTCCCATAGGTCGTCTAGTCAAGTACATAATGTTTGTTTATACGATGCTCACCTGTTTGAAATATGATCAGGTGTGTATAGTTCCCGCTGCAAATTGTATAAGACATCAATGACTTAGAAAATTTATTCTTTGTATATGGCTTATTAAAACCTGCATACAGCCATATCATCAGTGCCCCGTATTGAGACCCTCAAGAAAAAAGGCACTGACGTCCATAGACGACGACCATAAGAATAACGACTATATAGGATTTTTACTGTCAAAATTTAAGTGTTAAAAGGTGGAAGTAAAGTAAATATTATATATGGTTTAAGAACTCCTAATTATTTATCATATAAAACAAAAAAAACATAATTTATTAGAGAATAATTTAAGTTACCATTTACGAAAAGATATATACTGTTTCGTGATTATTATTTTTTTCTAATAGGTAAATAGGTGATCAATCTGTCGACGTGTGTCGGCCTGACACACGCCATCGACATTTTTTTCGGCTTAACCACTGCTCCGACCATTTATAAATTACGACTTTTGACCTTTTACCAAAGTCATAAATAATAGATTCCATCCAAGGCCAGCGTAGTTTGTATCTATTTAGAAACACTGCATGTTATGAGAGAATCGCTTAAGGGGGTACAATACTTAAAAGAGACGGCATGAATGTTTTTTCTCATTCACAAACCAATTTGTAAATAAATAATACAGAGCATGTATATTCCATGTCACACATCAGAGATTGAGCCGGAACTCAGTACTTAGATACATGACAGCATACAATAATTAACTATTAGTGCAGTGATTACATAACATTTCTCAGTCCCCTATGCAAGGTGCATTTAAACTATTCTCCTTAAAGGATTTATTCGAATTTAAAATTATAAATTAAATACGCTTATTTTATAAACACTGGTTCTGACTTCTGTCTGTATTAACGAACGCACTTTTAGTCTCTTTCAGCCTATTTGTGTTCTTGCTGAGACGAAAAGAGACATATATATATTTATAACAGGTTGAGTAATGATTACATCAAAATATATCACAATCGTAGTCTAACTGCCGCGTTAATAACAAAACTGAAACTGTCCTTTGCGCTTGTAAGAATTTTACTATAGTTAAATTTTAATATCTGCTATTAAATAAATAAAAAATAATAGGACAGGTCAAACATCACTGACGTGTCAAATAAACTACTTATTTTAATTATAATAGAACGATCATGAAACGTCGTTTAGGTATAAGTTATAGCCATTTTGATAACGAAGCATTTAGTTAGGCGCATTGGCTAAATTATTTATGTACCTCAGATGATTATTACAAAAGTATTATTTTAACCAAGATTTTATAATCCTTCAAATGTTTTACGCATATAAAAAGAGGACTTTCTTTAGTTAACATTTGCTCTTTTGCACTTTAAGATTAGAAAAAAACGTGTGTGTCATAAGTTCACACACGTTTTTCTACGTGCTTTAGAAGATATACTTCTTTGGCGTAACAAGATAACAATATTTTTATCTTTCGCCTTATTTACGTTTGTAGAAAAGCGACACTAACAATAGAACGCATTATCTAGTTATATAAAGTTTATTTAAATATCACAAAAAAAATATTTCTACATAATTAAAGAAATTGACATTTTTATTTTAAAATGTTGACTATGCTTACTTCAGGGTGTCGGTTTGTGACGGTGTGCGCGCGCATGATAAAAATTTACTCTCATCATTTTTCCCCAACGCGCCAAAAGAAGTATAACTTCAAAAATTCATGGAACTGATAACGATATCTGAGGCTAAGGACAGAGGAGTACAATGTGGAAACTTCAAGAGCCTTTGAAATACCTCCATAATATTATGTATCCACATTTCAGCGGCTGTGTAACGAATATTCTTTAAAGATTTTTCTGCGCATACAACAAAACAAAACAGCTATTATTTCGGCAAAGTAACAAATAAAGAACTATTGGGAGTCAGTGTAATTAAAGGAGGAATGAATGTTTATTAGTATACCACACCCGAACCGCTGCTATAATGTTTTAATTAATATCAAAATAAGAGACAAACATAGAGACTAAAGTATCTCAATCATATAGTCCGGAAAAAGCCTAAGAAACTACTTCAAATGTAAGGAAAAAAAAATATCCCAAGGTCGGCATTGAACCGTCCGAGTTGAATGTAACCTGCGTTAAAAATAACTTTATAAAGACATAACTTTCACATTACACATGTGTAGTGAGTACTAGTACTAAGTTACATCCGTCATGCGGTAAGCAATGACGCATCGCGTCGCGTCACGCGTCACGATTCTCGACCGGCTCGCCTGGTATTAAGGAATCACCCCTTAAACGGCGCTTACGAATGACGCATAGAATTAATCTAACGCTTTTACAACAAAACTGCATCTTAATAAATTTCGGCATTATTTAGATGATACAATATTGTCTTTTATTTCCTTGATTATGCTGACATAAAGCACCGACACAATTGTATAATTTAAAAAATAAAAGAAATAATTACCAAACAGTTATAATTCTACGTGTTTTAATCTAAGTTAGTTTTTCTTGATGATGATTTTAACACAATAATTTAGCAATTGGAGTAGTCAGTATAAATCGTTAATTTATGTACAAAATGCTTATTTAAATTAATTTCAGATAATACTGACAGACAATGATTAACTGTTTTATAATTAAATTCCTCTATCGATAATCGTGAGCAGTCTCTGCTACCCGCCGATAGATGGCGCAGTAATAAAATTGTAAACAAAATTGTTTCATTTATATTAGAGCATAAAGCCCTCTACTGCACACATATAACAATATAAATAAATAAATAAACACATAATATATAACCGTAATTGCTGAGTGTGAGACAATAAGCTTTATCTCTAAAGATGAACTTAGAACTGAGAAGTGCAAATCTATATTAATTAGTTCTTGATTTTTATTATTTTATTGTTGTTTGTATTATCACTGTTTTTTGTACCTACTTGATTTCGCTGGTCATATCCGCATGTTGTAGGAACGGCACTGCTTTTAATTTTTTTGTATGTACGCCAATTTGTTTGTTTGTATTTTTTGTGGACCAAAAAAACAAAATAATAAATTTTAATATAAAGTGTAACAGCGTGGACGATTGTCTGAAAATACTCAAGATATACAGATGGAGCTGCTTGGAGGAGGTTTTTTTTTTTAAGAGGCCCTTGAAAATAAATGTAATTGAGGCTAAATTATTATTACAATGCGTAACGAGTAACTTGACGTTAACAAAATGCTTTTTACTGATAACGAGGAATCCCTGTAAGCGGTTCTAAAATTATCCAATCATTCTAAGTTACGCCTGCAACCGACGGCTATCGTAGGATGACATTATGCAAGCGTCTCAAATAATAATTATAAAATATAATACTTTGCTTTAAGTTACTTATAATGAGTACTTTAGGGAGCGTTCAAGTATTACGTCACGCAATTTTTGGAGATTATTGACCCCCCCCACATGTAACGCGCCGTAACGTTTTCTGTACCCAAGTATAGTAAAACGTTTCGTGACCACTTAGTGACTCTTTATACCTATAAGTTACCATTATGTGGTGTAAAGTACTGGAAAGTGGAAAATAATATTAACAATAACGCGTAATTCAATCCCCGCCCCGCATCGTAACGTTTTACAAAAGGACCCCCCCAAAATTCGTTACGTAACACTTGAACGCTCGCTTAGGAATATTCTATATTGAAGAAGCTACACAGCTAGCTATACATTTTATTTTAGTTAGGTTTAGCTTATATAAAATTACATAACCATAAATTACATTTCATAGATAAAGCAGAAATGCTTTAACGGAATTAATAATAACATAAATCCGAATTAGTTTATGTAAACACAATACATAACTAACTCGGATTTATGTTCGTTAGGTTAAGTTAGGCTCAGTGTAACGAGCGGCTATCGTTAATAGCGATATTGTCCAGGGAACTAGTTATTTATTTAACTAAAGGAACTTTTTGTTCAGATTTTCATAGAATAGTCTCCAACAGTACTGAAGTTATTTGAACTTTTCGTTAATACGTTATAAGAATTTCTACATTATCCATCCATTGTTAGGCATCCGTATTAAAACTTCGGTAATTTTATTTATTTATTTACAGCATACATAGACTAAATTTTAACTCAAATATTATAGTAAATTAATTTTAATACAATTAAAAGAAAATTTTGCATGGCAGGAGTAGAGAGTATTATTATATTTAAAAAAAGTAAATTTTTAAACTTTTTTAAGTAAGTTTTCATAAATCACAGGATATAAACGTAAAAGGGTGTATAACGCTTCACAAATAGTTCGCTCTCTCTCGCTCTCTATTAAGCTGCGACAGCAAGCGGGGAAAGGGATCTTGTTGACGCTGGACTGTACGAGTCCATTACACAGGGTTATAGTGTGAAAAAGATATTACCCTATATCAATGCGTAAACTATTGACAATAGAGCAAAGTGCTGTACTATAGTTTTACAGAGGACATAAATCTGTAAAAAAATCGGTCACCCGGACTGAACGCATTATTGCATAAAGCTTTTCTCTGCGATCGTTTCTTACGATAATCTATGATACCACGCATGCTCGCAGCGCAACTAAAATTTATTGTGTTCAATTCACTTGAAATATATTGTACATTATCTAAGGTGATCTATGAGCAGCATTTGTCATAAAATATTGAGCAATTATTTCGTTCAACTATAGGAGTAGGGTTGCACAAAGATTTAAGATTTTAATTGTAATCTTTGTATATTCCACATACCCAATATTAGTGTCTTAAAATAATACTTGTGCATAATAATGTATGTAATGTTAGAGCAAAGGAAATCGAATAGTTGACGGGTGGAGGTAGAATTGCGAACGTTTCCTCCAACCTACAGGTTCCTCCAACCTACAGGTTCCTCTAACCACAGACCTAGACCCCAGTGGCTAATGTCGAGAAGTTGTATATATCCTTAGCGGGTGGAATAGCGTTACCGCGTTGCAGTACGACGGCGCTGTAGACTTTATAAAACATTAAGAATTATCTTTTGTACGGAAAAATTGAGCAGCGCTCCAAGGGCGTAATTAGAACTAAACTTTACTATTCTAATATGGATAAACACAACGTAATAATTAAGAAACAGTTACCGTATTAAATACTTATTTCAAATTGTAAAATTGTCCCGTATATATGTGACGTACGATGTCACGTCACATATACTGTAAAGAACTTAAAACGGGTGTATCATTTCAAATAGGTAAACGATATTTAATAGCTATACATATTTGTTAACAATATTTTCGGCACGTAGGCGGTTTTTTGTAATTAAATTTGAATAAAAACCAATTTGACGTAAAACATAAATAGTGTCGCTGCACGTTTCGCATGGTTTTTCCTTTATTACTCATAAACAAATACATTTAAATCAAAACAGGACACAATTTTCCTCAGTATTACGTTAATTGTCTTAGTGGTATTATACGTGAAACTGTGGTTTGTGTTGGTTGTGGTGTTATAATTCAATGACTTTAAAATGGTTATACACAATTCTGCATTTCGTAGCAGCTTGCGTGGTTTAAGAGGTATGGCGTCCTTCAGAAAATCAAATGAACAGGTAATTATAATATTTATTTAAGCTGACCATAGGTCTATATTATGGTAATCTTAAACACTTAGAAAATATACAAATCCAAAACAGATTGATAAACAAAATATATGAAACAGAAAACAAAAGTAGGTTCAATAAATAAAAAAAGAAAACTGAATTTAAACATTAAACAAACGACTTAATATTTTAATGAAAAAACTAAATTGTGTTAGTTACAAGATTGTTCTAAATTAAGGTATATATATAAATAAAAATAATAGTAAAACCACGCACACCATTTTTACTATTAGTAGTCAAATGTATTACATTGCAATGACCCATGTAAGTACCCTTACCCATATAAGTACTTTTCCTTCCCGCTATAACCGCTAGCATGCTGTGAGGAGTCTCACCAGTGATACAGATCGACAGCTCAGCAGCTCAACAGCTCGCTTGACATACCTGTGTTTATTGAATTTACTGTCATTCAAAGTCAAGTCCATGTTAGCACTGCAACCCTGCAGTGCCCCCAAAGTCAAGCAAAAAAGGGGCACCACCGTACTAATTACTATCCTTTTCTCGAAGCAGTTCATGCCATTTTCGACCCCCTATCGAAGCCTGATTTTAAATATATAGATTGACTTGACACTAAACGATCTAATTTAATATAACATGTATTACTTGTGATACAATGTGATTCCATGCCCAGTCAATGTAATAATTCAAATTTTCATTCATTGATATGGGGTTTGCACCTCCCTTTCCATTGTTAGGGTAGTTACCAAAAAAAAATATCGTGCATTTTTGTTACGGTGAAAATATATTGACTAACGCACCCGGTACAGCTATTTGTACATTTTCAGAATTGGCAATGATTCATAAATATGTGATTTCAATAACTGATAAGATAAAGATTATCAATGGACATGAATAATGTTTTTTAGCCAGTTGGAAGCTAGAAATTGTAAAGTACGGTGTAGTGAAAAATGTCTACTAGATATGGAAGTATCCGGGTATGTTAACTATATTTTTTGTGAAGCCTCACGCGTATGTTCCAGAGCACTTTTATACTGTTTTACTGATATATTTAATCAATTATTTGCTACAACATACGCTGAAAATAGTTATAGTCAATATTAAATCTTTATTTTTAATTGACAAAGCTTGCCAACGCTCGGTATACTGATACATTGGTGAAATAATCACTATATAATGTTTATGTGACAAGCACTTATAGGCAAACATGCCATACACGAAGAGATAATGCAAATATTAAACAAAAGAGTTAAAATTATAAAAACTAATCTAAAATCGATTTTAAAGTGGGAGCGTTCGTTTATCAGAATGCTCAGCAAATATATCCAGACCTAGCTCGTTTATCAGAATGCTTAGCAAATATATCCAGAGCTAGCTCGTTTATCAGAATGCTCAGCAAATATATCCAGACCTAGCTCGTTTATCAGAATGCTCAGTAAATATATCCAGACCTAGATCGTTTATCAGAATGTTCAATCTTAAATCTAAAACGGTGATTTCGGCAAGCTACTGCCGAATTACTAAACATACATGGAGCCATAAGACGTATTACATTGGTACGTTAATACTTACGTCGGTTATAATAAAAATACTTGATTACGTACCTCGCGTTATTATTTAGTTTAAAACATAATCGAATCAAATTATTTCATTCACTTTATACAATAAAGATCCATTTAGTAAATACAACTTTGGAACTAATTTTAGTACTTTCACCAATAATTTATATAAAAAAGATAAAGAAACGCGTACCCTTAATAGTTAATAAATTTAAATATGAATATATTACTAACATTAATATGATTGTCGGAGAGAGTTCTTTTTATAGAATAGGGAGAAAACGGGCAGGAGGCTCATCTGATGTTAAGTAATACTGCACATGGACAATCTCAATGCCAGAGGGCTCGCGAGTGCGTTGCTGGCCTTTTAAGACGATGGACCCTAAGTCCAATTGGATCGGATATACTTCAGTGGGCAGCTGGTTTCACTTAGATATGCGCGGCAATAACTAAATAAATATTCTTTAATCAAGAAGAACGAAGCACATTTAAGTCAATTTTTTTTTCACCGGCTGGGAAACCTACAATTATTTTCAATATTTTTTGAATAAGTTGTTCATAAAAGGCGTAAAAACCCGATTAATAAGTAGGCCAAACCACCTCAGGTGTCATACCTGCTATACCTACTCATAGTTTCATAGAAATTACTCTGATGACCCAAATAAGTTACCATACATTTGACGTCAGTTACTACGTTCCAAGACATGAATGAAGTGACGTAATCACAATAGTAACCTTCATATACAGGATCTTCTTATGGTGGTACTCAGAATCGTTAATTAAAAGTTAATGGTAGTAAAGATTTCAATGAGTTCACGATAGCTTTATTCCGAACCTAAGCTATCATATATTAGCAGAACGGGCATTAAATTAAAATATTGTAGGCGCTACAGCTGACAACAATACTCAGATATGAGTTATCGACCCAGAGAGAGAGAGAGAGACTATATAATTACGTAATTAATAGTGTTAGTTAGCTGTTACTCTTAACAATATTTGTTTCATACATTGTCGAAAAACGAGTGCCCTTCCAGTGCTCCTTGAATTTTATTATAGTTTAACTATTCGATTGTACGTTTTGTTCGTAAATAGTATTTCATAAACGGTATCACGCTCGTCCAGATGTCCGAGAAAGACATTGAATGAAAATATTTCATCCATTATTTTGATATAAAGTTCTTATTGCATGGCAACCCTATTTGAAGTGCAGAGATATTACCAGTTATATAAGGATTGACGTAAATTCTCGAACAATTTCAAGTTCAGCTCGTAAGGACCCTTCAAGGTACTTGACCTTGCAAGGGCAAGCTGACCTTGTCGACTCTGACCTTCAACGCGACCCTTAAATTTACTTACACTTTTGATATACAGAGAGGAAATGAGTTCAATGTTTAAATAAATATAGAAGATTGTGAACTGAACTAAACAGTTCACGACGCCCTCATAATCTAATTCTACCTGAGTATAGAACCAACTACGGTAAAAAAACATTGATGGGGGAGTGCTGCGGTATAATAGACTTCCACAAAATATAAAAGTGCAGACAGCCTGGCAATATTTAAAATAAGACTAAAAGTAATCTAATTCCAGTTATCTACGCAAATGAAAGTCCAAACTCTACTTTAATAATTCATCCTGGAAGCTCTTCAATTACCCACGATGTGACAAATTGTATCTTTAGTATATAAGTTCTCATGTGAGTTACTATTGTCTGTTATGTGAATGATCAATGAATGTCTTTAAACCTAACAATAGGTACGATCTAGATACTTCGTATGCATTTTTAATAATTTACATTTATTTATTATTATTACATACATAAAAATTAGTTTATTGTGGTATAGTGGAAACACAAACTATAAAACAAACTTATTTACCAATGATAATATTTTGTTCACGCAACATAACAGTTTATAAGGAATTTGTACTGTTGTGCTTCAGGCACCCTGAGTAGTTTTTTGGTGTTTTCTCTACTTTTAGTTAATATATAATATATTTAGCAATAATAAAAAATTGTCGACTCTTCGAAGGTACAAATAATAGCCGATTTGAAAAAATCTATTGAAAAATCTTTGTAATAGTATAAAATATATGGTACTTCATCCTTACACCTATTATATAAGCGGGTCACTATGTTTCGTCGACAATCCTCCTTAGAAAATTTCGCAATTATTACACAATATGTATAAATTAAAAACAATACAGCTTACAAGATTGGGTACAAGGTTGGATTTTCGTTGATAACCTTTTTTTATACTCGCAAATAAACAGTTTAATAATGTTGCACCCGTAAATCCGTGCCTGCTACGTTCGATGACCTCTCCAACAATAGTTATTGTACTAAACTAATCTAGTTAGCTAAACCCGTCTGATTCAGTTAAGATTTATATGACTTTGTAACAAACAAATGCTATACCTCTTTATCTTGTAATTATTCATTTATTTCAATTGTTATGTTTATCGTACCTTTGTTCAAACCATGTTCATGAATCTTAGAATTGGCATATTCGTAAAAACCACAGAGGTATTATGTGATTAAAAAAACTGATAATGCATTTTTTTTAAATATATAATTTCTATAATTTATTTTACCCTAATGACTGCAATTATCAATTAAGGCTCTACTATAGAAAATAATCAGCATACATCGCCAGGAAACGGACTGGATTTAGAATTTTCGGCGTATGGCACACCTTTTTGGTTATTTAGAAAAATAAATAAACAAATGCCAACCAATTGAACGTTGTAGCACCATTGGATTATTACAAAATGTCTACTGGTTTCTATGGTAACCAGCTATCGATACAAAATATATCGATTCACCATAACTGGGTTTACCTACCAAGGAAATTCCAATATTCCAGAACCGTACAAACTTAGGTTTAAAAAAGTCTTAAACTCTTGCATTGAATACATTACAACACACACACACACACACACACACACAGTACATGGTGTATAACTAGGCTTGATTTTTCGCAAAATAATAATTTGTTATCTCTTTGCCTTATATAACACAAAAAATAGCCATTATTTAAGAAACCTGGAACAGTACTCGTGGAAAATAATGGCTATTTTTTGTGGTCCATTGACTTCTAACAAATATTAGAAACAAAATGGCTAAGTATAATTAATATTAGATAGATAATTTCCGATACCACAATTGAATGCGTTAATGCAGCTTCAATCAAAAACTTTTTACATAAAATAAAAACAATTATTTTCTCTTTGTTGCAGCAAAAAGAACAGGGAAACCAGTTAATCGACAGAAGTTGCGGTAACCGCTCCATCTGGTGGACACTTGCTGTAGATGTTCCACTTCTATTACTCGGTAAGATCATAATATTGTGTTTATTCATCACATAATGGGGTTCAAGGTCAATGCAATAAGATAAATGTTAGAAAACGACGATTTTACCCATTAGTAGTGCTTTCAAGCTAAGTCCTTATACTAGAATACCACTTTGACCTAACAAAACCTACAATGGAGGTAGACAATTTACCTTTTCTTTAAGAAATTTTCCGTCATTCAGAATTATAAAGGGCTTGCTAGCTGTGGGTTTGTTCGCCTGAAATTTCATTCTTATAATCAATTATATACAACACAAGATTCAGGACTCCATTCAATTTAAAACTTACGTATGTAAGTGTAAGGGAGAATAATCATAATTAGAATTTTGATTCTTACATAAGATGTTCAGGCATAACTATATGTTATTTGGTCCACGTTTTTATCTATGCTATATTTGGCTCTATTTCTAACCGTTACAGGAAATAGGTATAAAAACTCAGCTACACATATACTTTAATTAATTATGATTACAATTCAGTGGCTAAAAATAACAAAAAGAACGGCGGAGAGTTTCGTTCTACGCCCTTGATTTGAGAACTGGCAATAAATGTAAAATTAGAAACATTTAATGTATATTATTTCTTTTTTTGACGTTCATAAGTGTACGACTTTTGATTTTTGATTCTAATAATAATAATCTAGTAGCGATACAAGCATAATATATGGGTCTTGCCTTGCCTGTATTCAGAAGCATGCTATTCTTTGATCATTTTTATTTCATAGTCAAGTAGGAGATCAGCCTTCTGAAACTTGTCAAAGCGTACGAGCGAGTGTTAGATGCGCACATAGTCCAGTAGTGCACAGCCGGGGATCGAACCTACAGTTCGACCTCAGGGATGAGTGTCGCACGCTGAAACCACTCGCATTATTTTGCAGGTTTTGCCATTAAGGAAAATATTTTGGCTAAAAATAGAACTTGTTTTAAACATACTTAATATAGCTTTGATAAATGTCGCATGGCTGAATATTAATTATTCTCCAAAGCATATAAATCATTGTTGGAGGATAAGTTAACGGAATGGTAATTCGATAAGATCTTTTACAGTAAAAAAGGATATTTTGAATACGTCTTAAAGTTCTTTAAGTACATCAAAGAGAAAAATCAGTGTTGTATTACATACATACGTTGTATTATATACAATACAATACGATAAATGACCATTCCTAAAAGAGATTAACATTATATCCGTTATTAATTAGTACGGAATTAACAAATAACGCAAGTAAATAATCTCATGACTGCGAATCCATGGGTCCCGCGTTCGATCCCCGGCTGAGACGACCATCGATGTTATGAGCATTTGGTGTTGTGCTTAGGTCTTGGGTGTTTAAATATGTATTTATATGTCTATCTATCTATAATATGTATGTTTATCCGTTGCCTAGTACCCATAACACAAGATTCACCAGCTTAGCATGGGACTAGGTCAATTGGTGTGAATTGTCTTTAAAAAAAAATTGGTTAATTTAATGGGTCATTTTAATTCTATGAGTGATTACATTATGGAATAACATATGAATTACCAATGTCAAGCCGAATAAAATAAAAATACATCTTTATACACCCCCACTAACAACATATGGCAGAAAGAACGCAATCGCAGTGTTAAAAAAACTAGCTTCTTTTTTCAACTGTTTTATTCATTTTGGTCGTTAAAAATAGATTGACAAACATGTGTGCATCGCCTTACTACGCCTAAGTGATAATTGGAGACAGTTTTGTTTAATTGTGTATTGTTTTGTTATGCACGTGTATTTATTTGTTATTAAACTTATAAAGCCATCGCTTCAGATGACAGCCTCTTTTAACTTCTTCGTAAGGTGTGTTTAATCAAGTCTCAAACAAAATCATTTGTTTTAGTAAAACATTAGTCAAAGCGAAAGTAGGTAACGCCTATGTATGTAGGCCGCATTTCTTTATATATCAAAAACCACACCATATAGTATCCAATTTCGTGAACTATTAAAATCACTATAATTAATTTTAGTAATATAGTGCAAGTAGTAAATAAGTTTTTTTAATAATTTTGTTTATATACACATGAACGTAATGAACAAATTTCGTATACTTATTTATTATGCAATGAAGTGTAGTGTAGTAAATGGGGAAATTGTACTAAATTATTACACGTACCTATTGATTGATTAATTGAAATATTGTTTCAGTTTGACGTAAATTAAGCTATTCTGAGTAAGTTATAATTAGCCTATAATCAAAGACAAATTAATTAAATTGTACATTATAACCTTACATTTAACCTTAGTTTAAATTTAACTAAGTATAGTTATTTAAAGGACTCAATTACTTAAAGGTCACCCGCTGAGTTATAAATAGCCTAATACTAATTATAATATACTTGTTTTATGGATAAAATTCGATTGACTGTAATGGTAATTCGTTTTCTATTAATGACTGCATAAATTATAGGCTATTAAACACAACGTTATTAGTTAAAACTTTCTATCTAGGTGTAATTATTTCGGAGTATCATGTATAATTATATTTTATTTAAATGCTTATTACATCATAGCCGGTTAACATTTCAGATATTAATGCAAAGGAATGATTAGGAAATTTTATTTCGATGTGAAATTACTAGTGCTGCCATCTAGTATTGGATAGCAGAATCTATGCGTATTATTTTATTGATACTTATTTGTGTCTTCGTTTGATTTTTATAGATTTAAAGTATTTTAGTTTGTATGCATATAAATATAACAGCAATATGCCTTCCAAAATATCATTATATATGTAATATAATAATAAGAACATTCGTATGTTTTGCATGGCTTTTTTAGTATAATTAGACATTTAATCAACGGTGTATCTAGCTACACCTTCTTGTAATGGATTATTAAAAAAAGCTTACATTTTTAAATAGCAATCATTTGCATATTAGTTAGGTTATCTATAAATAACTACAATTTTAATAAATTTCTGGATAGTATAAGTTAAATTCAAGACCTACCTCCGTTATATGCCTTGACGTCGAATTATAGCAGAGATTTTAATGTGGCCATTCGCACCCGGGTCCGCCAATTTGGCAAACCCTTTCATCCGGTACTTGAGGTTCAAAGTCAATGTCATCTCAATTTGGAACCAATTGCGCAATTGGTGTGAGGGGTCAAAATTTTCCTCGTGGAAGAGGCTACTAAAATACACAAATGTAAACATATGATTAAATAATACTATATGCTCTTTTACTTACATATTTTTTTCTTATATTGTTATTGGTTTATAAAAGTCAAAAATCATTTATTCATGTAGGTAACACAATGTACATTTATGAACATCAAACAAACGAGAATAATTCATAAAAATACTTCTGGAATTAGGTACATTGTTTAACTCGACGTTCTTAGTGTCACCTACTGATATAGACATTTTAAATTTGTTTATGTTAAGATAACATCTGCTCGAACGGTGAAGGAAAACATCGTGAGGAAACCGACATGTCTTAAAGTCGACCCAAAAAGTCGACGGCGTGTGTCAGGCACTGGAGGCTGATCTCCCACTTGCCTATTAGATTTAAAAATGATCATTAAACAGATTCAGAAATCTGAGGCCAAGACCTAAAGAGGTTGTAGCGCCACTGATTTTTTTATATATTTTAAGATACGAACCAATAATGAAATAGTAGTTAATGGTTTATTATGAAGTCTATCACTCTAAGAGATAATAACACAGAAAAAAGAGCATTAACAGAATCGTCATGGAGTGGTACGAAGACGGTAGGACGATATAAAAAAGGTAGCGAGTCCAATGTGGATTTGAACCGCTAGAGAATGCCAAGATTACAAAAAAATTACAGGAGGCCTTTGTCGAAGGACAAGCTCTAAATAAGTCCTAAGATAGGGATTAAATATTGTATTACTTTAGGAACACTTGCATGTAAGCTGTAAGGAAGTCCTTAGACTTTTTTCTAATTCCATGTAAAAAAAACTTCACCAATAATGAGAGGATGAGGCACGGCGTTAATTTGAATAGAGATTATTAAGTACTCTTTCTTCTCTTTCTGACAAATTGTGTTTACCTGTGATAAAAAGCAACAGATGCGTACTTTAAAACACAGCAAGTTAGTTTTTTATAATGTATTAACATAGAAAAACACTTTTTTTACCGGATTTGAAGTTATGTTTTATTATAAATTTACAATTATTTTACATAATTCTAAATTTAACCGGCGTTTCGCGTGCTTTACAACATGCGTGGTCACGGTTAAAACAACAACAACAAAATTATGTGAAATAATTGTAAATTTATAATAAAACATAACTTCAATTCCGCTAAAAAAGTGTTTTTCTATGTCTAAAAGTTATGTCAATAAAAGACAATAGTGTATTAACATATTAAATTTTGTCAACAGTGTGTCTAATAGTGGGGCTGTTTGAGCTAGGCGTCATCCCGCACCATAAAAACGGCTTTTTCTGCAATGATCCGGCTCTTTCGTTCCCGTTTACGAAAGACACTGTCTCCTTTGCAGTCATCGTTTCTTCTATTATTTTTCCTCCTTTTATTTTGGTAAGTACAGATAGATAATATAGAACTCGTGATTCATATTCACATATTCCCAAGCAATAAAAATACATATAAACAAACATATGAAGAAAGTATGGTTGTGTATCTATTTCATTGGTAATAATTATTTGTCTAACATGCCGGTATCAAGTTTTGGCGTACAGCCGTGTTTGATCGCATTCATAAAGTTGCCACCCACGGTTAACCACCTAAGCTGTATTATTAAACCATTGATTTATGATTACAGATATTCATCACTGAGTATATCTTCCACAAGTCAACATATAAAACGCAAACAAAACTTCGTCATGTTGCCAGAAATACTTTGTATATGTACAGAAGTTATTTATACGGACTGTTCTTTAATCTGGGACTAGTGGAGGTGATGAAAGGGTTGAGTGGCAGCCCTCGACCCACCTTTTTTGATATCTGCGAACCGGATACCGCGAAAACTTGTAATGGGTAAGTTATACGAGTATTTCAATGTATTTCAAAGCTGTATTACATGTTGGTGTAGTTCGTTCTTATTTTTATGATTGATTTTCGTTTGCCTGGAAACAGGAAAGCATAATTATGATCAAAGCAATATGCGATGGGGCAAAGCGTTTTATTTTACATCGAGACTGTGTAAACTATTATAGATAACTAGTGGACCCCACAGACGTTGTCCTGCATGATATTTAAAGCGATTAGGATATTAAGCAAAGTATGAAAGTACCGACTCCAGTGCCATCTGCCGGGCTGATTTGTGAATCTAAACCATTCCCAGATCCCCTTGAACACACACAAAAAATTTCATCAAAATCGGTCCAGTCGTTTGAGAGAAGTTCAGTGACATACACACCCACAGAAGAATTATATATATAAAGATTAAATTTCCTTGAAGTTCTATCGATCTATTCTATGGAATACGTCATTAATTTGATACCAAGTATTTGATGTTTAAAATATAGTAAGCAAACATGGAACATAGGATGTAGGAATGTTCATTACCAAATTGGAAATAAATCTACAAAGAGAATAAATTATTATTAAACATTATTTTTTTTAGGTCAGAGTACGTTGCAACATTCCAATGTACATCAAAGAAGTTTTCATCTTGGTATCAAACGGATTCCTACCACAGCTTTCCTTCAGGACACACATCGCTATCTATCTATTGTGGACTATTTATGGCGGTAAGGGTTCATTCATAATTAGAATACACTTTTAAACGTATCGTGTCACTTGTAATTTGTTAGTAGAATCTGATTGATCTAGCAATCAATCACGTAACAAAATTTTTTTGTTTCATTTTTCAAAAGTGAAATCCACTAGATATTGAGAAACTAAAATGGAATTGGTTAACGTGTGACGATCTGTTTGACTATATACTCTAAAACACACACGCAACGTTTCGTCTTTTGTTTTATATTCTCATCCTCTTGGTTAAGTTAGTAACTAAGAGTTTTCTCAGAATTCAACCAAATTAGAGTTCTTATTTTAAACACCCATATCTCCTTTTTTATATTTTAGTGGTACTTACAAAAACGCGCATTTGACTGGCGTCACCGCACTGTATTCTTCGTGCCTGTACTGCAGATGACTTGTGTTGCATATGCCGCCATTTGCTCACTCACCAGAATCACTGATCACAGGCATCACTGGTGGGACGTGCTTACGGGGGCCGTTATAGGTGTAGCCACATTGTATTATACGGTAAGGTTTTTGCTAAATCTCAACCCTGGTGATTTTTAATAACCAAACACTTGCGTATTATGCCGGAGAATATCGTGAGGAAAGTCGCTATGACTTATACCCAAAAATGTGTTAGACACGGAAGGCTGATCACCAACTTGCCTATAATGTACGTGGGTGAATGAAACAGACATAGTATTGTCTGCCCTTGGTTTATGGGACATACAAGTAACTACTATATGAGGTCAATAGTGTTTTCATTGTTTGTAAAATAAACTTAGTGTAGAGAAGATATTTAGCTCGACCATATTTTCTTTGTTTGTTCCCAATATGACCGCACCTTCTTTCTGAATTTCTTACAATTACTACATGATCCGTTTCCGACTAAAATGTCCTGCCTTTTGCCTAATCCTTTATTGTATTATAATGTACTGTAATGTCTTCTTTCATAATCAATAATATGTAAAATGTATTAAGATGTAATATTATGTTTATGTCCATATTTTGTCTTTAACTAGCTTATCCCTTTATTTCCTTTTGGAGTCTGTTTATTTTTTTCGCGTGTAGTGTCCCATTTTACTTGAAACTGGCATAAAGTTGAAACTATTGCCATAATATAAAAAACTACACAGAAGATTTCATTAGAATAAAAATTTTGAAATTAATCACTTCTATTGTTACAGGTGATTGTTTTATGCAAAAACTTTAAAACTTCAAATTTGGAAGACAAAGCCATGACGGAAAGTCAGAATACAGTGCAAACTGCTTTATTCGTGTGAGATTTTAACACTTGGAACATAATCAACAGGACCAAGACTCTTACGACCTCAACCTCGTGGTTTCAATTAAGCGTTGCATTTAGTTAAATATATGTAAATATAGACGTGTTATTTTTAAATAATAGTTATACTAGTTATGTATTTTTACTTGGTTTTAATTGGTTTTCTTAATAAGACTATTTGTTGGTAGAATAAAATCTGCCTTTATGTTACTAGAATGACTGAATAGGTAATGTTTTTGTTTTGGAACCCATAGCATACCGGATATATTGCAATATAGTATCCAATGACTAATGACAAGCGAGACAGATCAATGGCAATGTCATGTAAATTTTTCATTAATTATTTAATTTAAATCAGATTTATACAATTATCTTAAGCTCACTTTTATCACTTATCATGACAGTGTAAATATATTTTGACAGTAATAATATTTGGCAGTATTAAATTGATTTGTTTGCACTTGTTGCACTTTACCCTTAGTATTTATGTTTTTATATTTATTTCTTACTTGGTTTGCCTGGAAGAGATCGCTTGTTAGCGATAAAACCGCTTGTTTCATCCCTAATAATTTATGTTATTTGTTTTTGTTTTAATGTAACGAAGTTTAAATAAATCAATGTAATTGTATCTACTGCCATCTAGTGGGTGACAGCACAAAGTAGTCCACACACAATTGGTATTTCAGCTATTAATATGAATAATATGAATTATTTCTTTAGATATAAGATGACTGTAAATAAAAATGTGATATTATCATAAAATTAGTTAAATAATTTTGTTAAAAAAATATAAATTATAACTTTTTCATATATAGTTTTATTTTTATTATTGAATTAGTGTAGTCTGTTATTTGTGTCCGTTAACGCATTTATCGTAGATTTGATGGGTTTTGAGGTAGTACTAAAGATACATCTTTACTAACAAATAGGAACCGTTACGCCCTATAGACCAGGGTAGAAGCCTTTAAAAATAAATAAAAAGTGAAAAAAAATAATAGTAGAATGAAACCTATTGGAAAAGGAGGAGAATATTATAAAAATTAAAGGAAAAATAATTTACGGGCGATCTGAGGTCGGGAAGGGATAGGGAGGGGGTCTTATGGAGTCTTATGGGAAAAACTCAAATGGCAAAGTTGTAGGTCATAAAAAGATCTAAAACTTTTATATTTACACATTTTTCACATTACCTCAAAATTTATGTGAAAAATTCAAAAAACCAAGTTTTTGGTTTTTAATTTTTATCTTTTACAAATTTTATTTTTTTCCCACGAAATTTGGTGAAAACTTACCTTTTTATGTCTTTAATACGCTGTAATTTATTTGAGTTGAAATAATTTATTTTTTCACCTTATTTTGAATTAATATCGAAAAAACACCCTAATTTTCAATCGAAATTCACCCGTCAAAATCAGCTTTTTTCAAAAAGTTGCTTGTGTGTTTTGAGTTCGATGAAATCTCTACTTTCCTATGGTAAAAAAATATATATATTACCATAGTAAATCTTCTCAGAAAATGAAAAAAATCGTATGCAGTAACGCCCAGACCCGTCATCCCCTTCCCTACTTCTCTATGAAATACGAAAATTTTAGCCCATCTAAAGGCAACATGATCAGATACAGAAAAATGTAACAAACTCGTAAACAGTTTCATATTATCATTACAATGAACAAAACATGATGTTGGAACCCTCTTAAGGACCTCACAACGTAATAGGCATTGCTCAAGCAAAGATTATCATTTAAATAAGGATGTTGTATTCGATTCCCGTGTGATGCAATTTGTTAAGATGATACCAATTTAAATAATGGCAGAGTGACGAAGGAATTATTTGAATAAATCGCGTATTTATTAGTGTATTTATTTATAGAGTTCAATACACTTGTGTGACGGAAATGGTCAATTCAGACACAAAAGTGTGTTTTATTGTGAATTATTAGATTTTTTTGTAAAGCAATAAATTGCAATTTGATTTAGCCGGGTTTAAATAAGGATATTCTGTATGGTTGAGCAGTGTTGGCCTAGTGGATTCAGCGTGCGACTCTCATCCCTGAGGTCGTAGGTTCGATCCCCGGCTGTGCACCAATAGACTTTCTTTCTATGTGCGCATTTAACATTCGCTCGAACGGTGAAGGAAAACATCGTGAGGAAACCAGCTTGCCTTAGACCCAAAAAGTGGAGGGTGTGCGTCAGGCACAGAAGGCTGAAACTCATAAACGTCTCAAACTATCAATATGGCGTCGGCACACAACTTTGATGGTGTTTTTCAAAGTTTAATGAAAAACAACTAGTACACTGTACAATGGAAGAGTGTGTGACTTAAACAATTTAATTTTTAAAGAAATATTTTTATATCAGTTTTTTTATTTCTTTTATTTCTGCTCATGATCTCTCTATCGTACGAATGGCCTAAGCATTAGCCAGCCAGTTTATTAAATGTTATTACAAATGGCTGAATATCTTTCAGGCCGCTAGTTAAACGGCGCAGTTTAGTAAAAAGGCTACGCTGTTAATTGAACAGCTTATTAAACTAGTTGGCTGCGACATAGACTTACAATCAAACGATCAAGGTTTTATAGAAAATTTAATTTATGCTACTATTTTTTGTAATATTAGTTAGTAGTGTATGAGAATTACACCATTTCGTGCCTTGACAATATAATCGTAGTAAACAAGGCGATAGGATTATTAAGTCTGACTCAGTGCATTGTTGCACGTAGAGGGTGCATAATTATATGGGGTTTCCCTACGCTAGTCACTTTGAAGTACCTGCATTTTGCTGCTTTTGTTGCTTCCTGGCTTTGTTGTGAAAAGGAAGTGTTTGACGAATAATCAACTTTATTGCCACAGCTTACCAGTTTTGGAAACATCAATAACACAGACACAAAAATGTGTGTGTCCTATGTCCTTTTGGGATATACTTTAATGTTTTTTTCAGCATTGGGGCAAATGAGTCTGCGAGTGAGCCAAGTAGACACCGCCGCTCATGGTCGCATGGTACCTATCTATGCATACGTCAAGCTGTTCAGGCATCGTGATGGTGCGGTCGAAAAAGGTTTAAGGTCTATCTATCTATCTATGTAGATGTATTTATTTATATGTAAAATAACACCTGTTATAATCCAATAGAGAATTATTTATTTGTAGCATAACTGTACTAGGTTAGTATAGTTAGCAAAGAGCTATCACTTTGAACTGATGTCAAAGTTGAATGACCTTACGACCTGAAATCATGTTAAAACATTTAGTGAATTGCACAGAATCAGCACACCTGGCGCCATTTCATTGAAACTCTATTAATTAAATTTTAATAAAACCTTAAGCATTCGGTAATAGTTGTTTAATGAGACTAGTTAAGGTTGTTATATAAACATACCAGTGTTCACACGTAGTTATGTACCTCATAATTGTAATCTCTTATATTTCGTACAAATGTAAGTAAGGTGGTATCCGAGGTGGAAATGCATTTGCGCATCCCTTGAACAGGGGTATGTGGGACTCGACCCACGCTAAAATCTCTGCTATTCAGAGACTGGGTGAGCAATACCCACTAAAACCACCTCGAGTAGTTCCGACAAAGCCGCGTTACAGAGGCTCCGGGGTCGCTGTCGCATTCTACCGGGACCGACTTCTAATTACCTACTACATAATCTAACTATAGATTTTCTATTCAATTGTATTTCCCTACTTACTTTTTCCATATGCCTCCTCTATCTATGATAAGTACGCCTACCATACAGATGACAATATACTAATTCAAAATACCGTTTGTTGCTCTAAATATAAATCCTTGTTATCGAATAACGGACCATCTGTTTGTCATACTTTTATTTAATTATACAAGGTTTATACATTCAAATGTCAATCAACGTGTGCCTTTTTGAAGATTGTTATATATTTTTTGTTAGTAACAGTGCGCTTTTGCTGCTATTTCAGTTTAATACATATATATTATTTACATGTAAATGCCAGCAAATCAAGGCCGGCAACGCACTCGCGCGCCAGTCCTTTACGAGTGTACATGGGCGGCGGTATCACTTGACATCAGGTAAGCCTCCTGCCCATTTTCCAATTGTTCTATAAAATAAAAATAAATAGTAACGCAAATTATAATTTGTACCAATATCATTAAAATAATTTTGTAATCAGACAAAATCCTGATTTTCGCTATTCACAACATTGTAAATGCATACCACACCCTTAAAAGTCTATTAAGTCTTAGCTGTTTCAAGCGAAACATAAGGACTGTCAACATAAACTTTAAATACATATAGGTCGGTTATCGAAAGCTGGCGGGTTCACAGTACTCACACTAATGCAATTTCACATACAGTATGTTTCAAAATATGATTTTTTTGCCATGCTATACATTTTAGTCCACTCATACACGACGGACAGTCTATTCATGATGTATTTATGATTGTATTTCAGTTTGACATCGCGTCTCGCGCTTATTCACAGACACTACACAAGCACAAAGTGTAAATGTGTTGAAGCCGCCAGCTTTAGTTAACATACCTATACATATAGTACACTTTTATTACAGCACACTTCAGCCTATACATAGATGAAATAAAACAAAAATGTCTTTATATAAATAGAGTGTGCTGTCAAAAACATAACACAGCGTTGACAGGTTGAAAATGGAAGACGCGTATTTTTATTTCGACGAAACATTAATTGATTTTAACTTGAAATTAAATTAGATTTTTCTAAATGACATTGAAACAGATATAAAATCGAAACACGTTAATTATGAATATCCGAAAAGGAAATGCGTTTATTTCTGGGTAACTTAAAATCATGAGCAGTGTTGGCCTTGTGGCTTCAGCGTGCGATCCCCGACTATGCACCAATGGACTTTCTTTCTATTTGCGCATTTAAGATTCGCACGAAGGGTGAAGGAAAACATCGAAAGAAACCAGCTTGCCTTAGACCCAAAAACTCGAATCTGCGCTTGGCGCAAGAGGCTGATCACCTACTTGCCTATTAGATTGATAA